CCTGCAAAACCTGTTTTCCAAGGATAAAAATGGGATGAGTGTTCACACCATCAGCAGCGATTCCTCTTTTGAGCCACCCTTCTGGGGGAGAATACATATGTTCTATCTAGAGCATATCCCAGAGAATGCCTGAGTTTCCCCTTATCCCCAGTGGTCATGGAGTATATTACAGATGTGGTGAACCCTGGAGCTGCAGAAGTACAAAAATTTTTGAGCAAGGGATACCCTACAGAGAAAGAGTGAAAATCTCAGACAACCTAATATTGAGCATGCTGAATGGTGACTGAAGGCAGAGTGGAGAGAGGAGGGGCTTAAAAATGAAGGCGGACGGGATGGGATGGCTGCAATCCTGAACAGCAGGGCTCCGGAATGCTGTGATTTGTTGCAGTTCTGTCATTTTCCTACTTACTAACAAGTCTGTAAAAAGCCATCGAACTAATAGCACAGGTGGAGCATGGAAGGCTTCTTGCACCAGTTCAGTCAACTCTGGCTGGCAGCAACAAGCGATGGCACTGGGTGGAAAGGCCCTTCATGCCATTTGCTACTGGAGACCGTTCTCTCTGGAGATGCCCAGGACTTAGCCTGGACCCTTCTGCATCTCAAGCAGGTGTTCTTCCACTGTGCTCCGGCTTAATTTCTACCAAGGGAGTCCTCTGTTGGAAGGGCAGCCCTGTCCAATTCCAGTTCAAAGGAAAGAACCATAAAGATGAATCTCCATCATCAGGGAGCACCTGAAGGATAGACTAGGCAGGCAGGTGCACAGGTGAATTGTCACAACCGTCATACTCCAGTCTTGCACATCAGTGAGATGTACTATGTTTTTATTTAAACTGTAATAATGATTTTTAAAGTGTGCCTATACATATACATCAGCTCATGCAGATTTATGCAGATTGCTATAATCTTTTTTGGTGATGCATTTTCTGAGTTTGGGCAAGGCATAAGCGGCCTCCCTATCTCTATTGCAGGTGAGGGAACAGAGGCTGAGAAAGGGAAGCTTGCTTACAGCTAACCAGTGACCACCCAGCTTTGGCCCTGGGCTTGTTGTTGTTGTTGTTATGTTTCTTGGAAAAGCAAATAAAGAAGAATCCCTGAACACATGCAGAGTACCCTTGTTTGTTTGCAAGCCTAGGTGTTTTTGATGTAGGGGAGAGGCCCTTGGTGCTTACTTGAGCTCCAGGCTTCCTGTTTCAGGAAGAGAGGGAGAAAGAAAGAGCATGAGAGAGAGTAGATGCAAAAAATAGGTGTATAAATGGGAAGAAACACAAAGAGGAGGGTGTATGAAAAAAGGGATAGGGACAACATGGAAGGACAGAGGACAAAGAGCTGACAAGAGGCAGCATGAACAACATCCAAGTCCTCATCCTGAAAGTGTTTTCCTTGGCCAGCAAGAAACCTTCTGCTAGAATGATCAGTCAGTTTCCAGCCTAAGAGATCTCTCATTTGCTTATACTGGTCTTTCTTCTAAAGTTGCAGGCTAGAGTTTTCATTGTTTGCTCTCCTTCCTTATTTTAAACTATTCTCCAGCTCAATATCTGCTGTTCTCTCCCTTCCACCTCACCCGGATTCTGCAGTATGATCAGGTGGAGGTGATAAGTGCAGATTCTGGGTCATGCATTTTTCTACTCCTTCTCCCTTCTGTAGTTTTCCACCTTCTTGAAATGCCCTGCAGACCAATGTTTACACTTTGCCCTCTCTGAGCTTTCCACAGATGCCATTGTGCAACCAGCTTCTGGAAAAAAAAAAGAGATAGAAGTGGGGGGAGGGGAGCTTCTCGAAAGAACGAGCTGGGGTCAGGCAGCAACACTGTGCATTAAAAAGACAAGTGAGGACAGGTTAGAATGGAAGTAGAGTTGGAAGGGACCTATAAGGCCATCAAGTCCATCCTCCTGTTTTGTTCCCACATGTGACTCTACAAGCTGAATGGATGTATAACTATGCAGGCTGTTGGCAAAATTTCCCAAGGCCCCGATGCCTCAGAGCCTTATCAACTTTCATTCCCAGCATAGCCCTAATGGGTTATTTAGTCCCATTTTACAGATGAAGTCATTAAGGCAGGAGAGAGGAGGAGAGACCTGCAGCACTGGAAGGTACTAAGAGGCCATCCAACCCAACCTCTTGCTACAAGGCAGGAGAGTGACAAGACAACCAATCCATGGACAGATGACTGATAGTTTTAGGGTGTGTAAGCCATTCATAGGCTTAATGGCTGTATCATGCAATCCAAGATTATTAAGGTTGCTAAAAATACTACAACATCCCTCTTAGGGTGCAGGCTGCTTCACTTGACACTGTCCTGGATGACTCTTCTGAGTCTGTGCTGCGGTCAGGCTTGGGCTTGGGTTGGTCTGAGTGTGAGATGTAGCCAGGCGTGTTACAGATAGATGGCTGCAGAGCAGAGGGCTTTGAACAGCCGAATGGGGTCCAAAGAGCAAAGAGCTCCTGGCTTGATTTCTGTTTAAACCAGAAAAGCAGCCTCAAGGACTACAAGCAAAAGCTCAGGGGAAAGAAGCTACCTAAAACTTTCTGTTCTTACGCAAAATTGCCCCAACGGGGGGAAAGATACAGGGTGGCCACTTACGTAACCCTCTTCAAGTAAAGAAGGCACAGATTTGGACAAAATGGGCACATGCTGATTTAAATCTGAAGGTACACGTTTAGAAATCATGACTGTAATTTTGATACCAGTCCAGACTCCCTCACTACAGTGGGGTGGATGGCTTGCCGAGGCTGCTGCCCCAGAGCTCAGCCTTGATGGACCTTTCTGAGCCCCTTCCTGCTCTCCTTCCTGAGAGTTCTTCATGCTGAGTGGTTTAGGGCACAGTCCAGTGGGGATGCCCGCAGGCTCCTGATCTCAGAGGATTACGGGCATCCTGTGCAGGAGAAGTGCAGAGGCAATCCACACCTCCTGTGCTTCCTGCCTACAGGTTAGCAGGATGACCAGCTTCAGCCATGGAGCTGAGCTGCCCCACACAGGAGGGAAGGTGGCCAAAGCCCTGCCAAGTAACATTATATTCTGGTGACCCCAGTTCCTTCTCCTCCCCAGGACACCTGCTTTGCCGCTTCTCTGAGGTTGCTTGTGCAGCTCTGGAGAACCAGCAGCTTGTGAAGGAGGGGCTTGGAGGGCAGATCCCCAGCTCTGGTTTTGGAGCTCTTTTTGGGTCATATGAGCGCTTGCTCCATGATGAAACCAGACAGTTCTTGAAACTGAGGGCACCTTCCAATAGAGAACTGTTATCTCGAAAGAAGGGTGTATGGTCATCTAGGACTAAGTGCAAGACAAAGCTCAGGTTTCAGTGTCAAGAGCTGAACACTTGGCAAACATACTTCAACACAGACTAAAAACAGTGTTCTGACCATTGAAAATCTGGTAACAGTTCTGAATCTAAAATTTGACTCTAGAATTTTGATTTTTTCCCCCAATAATTTCCCTTTCACAACACATTGCTGCTGGAGAATTTGTGGTAATAAGGGGAAGTCTCAAGTTTCTGATTCAATATACTTCTTTTATCTAGACATGAAGATAAGTGGAAATAGGGGTGGGGAGTAGAAAGTGGCTCTCTTAGAATTAGGACAGTGTAATTTTTGCAATAAAACAATTGCTGGAAGCACCTGAATGATTTTTGTTCTTCTTTCCACATTTGCTTCTGCTTGATACACTCTCTGCTTATACCTTCCCCTACTCTCTTATTCCAGGTCAAGATCTGGTTCCAGAACAAGCGTTCCAAGTTCAAAAAGATCATGAAGCAGGGCTCCAGCATCCAGGAGGATCACCTCCATGGTTCCTCGTCTTTGTCCCCTTGCTCCCCCAACATACCCCCACTTTGGGACATCCCCATGGCATGCAAAGGAGCACCGCTGCCGCACAGCAGCTACATAAACAGCTTTGGACCTTGGTACCACCAACCCCAACACCAAGACACAATGGGGAGGCCTCCAGTGATGTGACAAAGGCAGATGGGTTTGTGCAGCATCAAACCCGTCTAGTGTGCCTCTTCCTCCAAAGCTCTGACCAGGGTCCTTGGAGCAGGAAGATGGATGGAGCAGGTGGCTTCTTCAAAGAAACCACCAGCACTTCTCTTTGGCAGGAGGTGACAGCAAATGCACAGGTGGACTTGCCCAACCTGTTCAAGCATCACATCAAACAACCATGGCAGAACGTGTGGGGTGGAGATAGGCAAAGAACCCCGCACCCCAACCAAAATGCGACTGCCAGTCAGAAACTCATTTCAAGCCGTGCTTCTTCATCAGGGAATTGCAAGAGTGGTGTGTGTTGTCTTGTTCCAAAGATAGGCTAACAAGTGATGTGGCCTTTTATTGGATCTAGTTATGTTAGCAAGATCTGAGTTGCCTTGTTTTTCTTCTTTTGCTAGGTTCCCCCCAGCCTGGGCAAGGTTTCTGTACCTTGAACAGTTTTGATGACAGGAAACAATTAAGATAGTTATGGGCTTTTTTAACACGGTGGTTCAGTCAGTGACAAGAAAGCTTTATCTATTGTATTTCTGATCGTCATGCAGCTGGCTAAAGGCACAGGAGAATGGCCAGCTTTTTCCAGGCAACTCTAGGTAGTGTAACAAGGTTCTGAACTGCACAGAGCTCTTCTTCAGACAGGTATTAGGGAAAAGGTAAGCTGAACTGGACAGAAGTACACCAAGGATGGGAATCTGTGGCCCTCCAACTTTTGCTGTACTGCTCCTATCCATCCCAGCCAGCAGAGCCAATGGTCATGGAGCTGATGGGAACTGAAGTCTGGCGCTCCATAGACTTCTCATGGCTACAAATTGGCGTAACTTCACAATGGAGTGGGGGGCAAAATACAGGGTAGCTTGGAGATAATACAATCTCTTCTCATAGGAATAAAACTGGCAAGAAATTTTACCCATCAAAATGGGTCCAATTATTTCCACCTCCTCCTTTCAAAATAAAATAAAATAAAATAAAATAAAATAAAATAAAATAAAATAAAATAAAAAATAAGGTGGTTGTAGGGAGCTAATGTCTATGCTGTGCTCCAATTTACTAATGTAAAAACAAAACAAAACAGGTTTTAAAAATGCTTTCTGCAAAGCCAAATTTGCTTCCAGATTTGTCTATGTTACTAAGATGTTTTTATTGTGTTAAAACCAGGGTTGTGTTTACAGTTAATAAAAAAAGTTTATGGAATGTAATCCCTATATCCCCATCCCCTCCCATTTTTTTTAAAAAAACCTGTCATTCATATATATTTTCCAGCCACTACATGAAGTCTCCCCAGCCTCAAATAACTTGAGTCTGTTTAACTAAGCAATTTTAAAACTAATTTAACTTTTTTTCTCCCCCACACTTTGCCAAGCATAATGACAAAAGATTATTTATTGAAATAAAACTTTTGGTATATTGTTTTCTCTTTATAAACAGAATGTAAAACTATAAAGCTTTTTTGTACAATTTTTTTTCTGAAGCCATTTCTTTATAGCTCTTGTAAAATGTGAATATGGGGAGTTAAAATGGGGACTCTGATCAAGGATGGAAGTAAGAGCTGTAGAAGCACAACAGGGGAAGCATCCGAAACTTGGAAACAAGAACCCCCAGGGGCCTTCACAGGGAGTTTGTAGGCTTGGCAAGGAGTATGCTGGACTGGAGCCAACAGCTGGAACCTTGCAGGGGTCCCAACTCTACAAATCTTTTCCCAAACCAGTTCTGTTGATCTATTTAGGTTATTTGGTCAGGCATCCCTGGGAGCCTGCCACCTTTTCCATAATCCAAGGCTGACCATTGACAGCTTGCTGCCTGAGCTAAAGGGGAAAAATCCCATCCTCTATCCCACACACTCGTACCAATGAAAGGTTGGATGCGGGATGATCTACAGCTGGCACCAAGGGCTGCTAGTACTGCTCATCTACCAAGGCCACATCCCAATGAGGTCCTCAAAACCCATCAGGCCCTTGATACCATAATGAGTTGTTTTCTAGTTCAGACAAGACAGCAAGTGATTGTGGTTCCAAGAAACCATGGGACAGGCCATTGTTTCTGTTCGTGGTTTCTCAAAACCCAATGTACCCTGCTGAAATGGGAGTTTGGAAGACATGGCAGAGCAATTTGAGTAAGAAACACTGCTGCTTTTTGGGTCACGTGAATCCTTCTGTTGTCTGAACCCAGCAGGGGAATAGGGTGAAAACCATGCCACGGTAGAAACCGCATGATTGTCAAGCACATCTGAACGAAACAGCATGCACTGTGGAAACCATGCAGGGTTACTTGAAGTGGCATTCAAGTCCAGCCAACAAGAGACAGTTCTTGCCATTTTCACACAGTGTTGCCATCCCTCAAAATAAACATTCCAGTAACTGGGCACAGCCTGCTCAGCTTAGGGTCAGAACTCATGCAACACGTTCATCTAAGTACGATCTTCTCCATAGCAGCTACTTTGGGGTAGTGCCCATACATTTCTAAATGAGTCCACAGTCTTCCAAAGTTTGGGGAGCCCTGAACTAAGCATTGTAGCTGGGCCATGTGTTTACAGATTCCCTGTTACCAAGCATTTTTTGCACATGGTCCCAGGCCCCCAGAGATCACAACTGCGCTACAGTGAGAAAGTGGGAAATAACCTGTGTACAAAAGCAGTAACATGAATGAAACTTACAGCAGTCTGATCACGCACACACATTGTCTAGTCAAGGAAGCAAAATGCCTAGAACACATTTACCTTTATTATAGATGGAAACTAGAGATAACACCGATTCTACTGCAGAGAACTCAGAATATGGAAACACAGAAAATAGGCTAAGCTTCAGACTTCTACAGGTCAAGAAAGAGTATGAGGGGATGTCACACGGAGGTGGGTAGAGACCTGTTCTCCCCTGCAGAGGAGGGCAGGACGCACTCCAACGGATCCAAGCTCAGGGAACCAAGGTGCAGTTTGGATGCCAGGAAGTACTTCCTGACAGTTAGGACCCTGAGGGTATGGAATGGGCTTCCATGGGAGGTGGTTGAAGCCCCATTGGTGAGGGTGTTCAATGATAGGCTAGACATGCACGGGGTAGGCATGTCATGAGTGGAGCTGGCTGGAACCAGGGGTCAGACTAGATGGCCTGGGAGGCCCCTTCTGACTCATTCAGTTTCTATATTTCTATGTTAGATATAGTCAAGGTGTTAATTGTTCAGGGAATGCAGCAACCTTTGAGTGTCACATAGGCACATACAAACACACAAATAGGACAAGGCTGGACAGCCACACACAGACATGTACATGCGCACACATGCATGCACAGACCCACTCACGCACACTGGGCTGGTGACAGTGGTGTGGGTTAGCATGGGCTCAAGGGGGCATGGAAACTGCCCCCTCGTGCCCTGTTAATGGCGACACAGCTTTGCCACACAGCAGTTGCCCACTGCCCTCTCCCCCTGGTGCTTCGCCATCACTGCTGAGATGGAAACTCCTTGGAGAGACCCATCCATCATGGAACGTAGCAGCCTGCAGGGGGAGTTGGTCATGTCCCCGGCACACATGTCCAATGCTCGTGCTGAGAATGAATAAGACGGCTCTTAAAAGTGAATTACATGAGGATAGGCTCTCATCGAATAAAAAACACCCACTTCTTTTTTCCCCTCTGGAAACCACATCTGAGGGGGGAGGGGGAGGGAATTCTGGACCCTCTTTTGGCCCACTTGAAAAGTAGATCCAGTACATGCATTGGCTGGATTAACAAAGCGATTTCTGATACACTGAAGTTTTTCGAGGTTCTTTGTCACTTTAGGTGCAACAAGAGGGACAGTGCCAGATTTGGAGGAGCCCTTGGCAATATTCCCACTGCTGGGCTCCTTCTGTGTTGGTGGGTTTAACTAGCAGTGATGTTGGAAGCAGTCATTTGAATTTCCCACAATGCCCTGAAACAACCCTACGTCAGCACTTTGTGGGAAATTCAAATGGTGGCTCACAGACCCAGACAGCAGGCCAGGTACAAGTGTAGGCTGCAGAAGTCTGGCGCCCCAGCAGCTGCTCAAGAATGCCAGGTGCTGATGGGGGGTGTGCACTTGGCTAATAGTTATTCCTCTGGAAATGGGCTGAACTGTTCACTTGTCCAGCCCATTTCCCTTCCCTTCCACTTTCTTACAATAACGACGTTCATGTGTGTAAACAAATACCATGAGAAAGTGTAAATGGGAGCTGTGTATCTAACCCCATTTAGGAAGTAACTTGAAATGTACCTGGATGTGAGGCTAGAAAGCTGAGAATATTTATGATATAACTGACATAAAATTGATAACCCCACGAAAACACACACACACACACACACACATTTCCTCTACATTTCTGTTCTCTGAATGTTGATAATAAGTATTCCCATAACTGTTCTTGGGATGGATGAATGCTCAGTGAGTATTAGACATTCAGCATCAGAGCTGACAACCAAGAACACTATTTTATTAACAATCATTATCTTACAGCAGCAGTTAGTAAATTCCATTGTTTGTCTATTTTATTCATCTCACCGGTTGATTTGCTCATGTGCTGCTATGACAACTACTACAGCTACTACTAAAACACATTTATATCCCACCATTTTTGTCTTACAAGGAACAACAAGATGGCGATCTAAATTGCCCACAATTCCTGGCAGCAACACTGGGGTATTGTGAGAAACTAAAATGGCGGCTTACAGACCCAGATACCGGTGCAGGTCCAAGTACAGGTGGGGGCAGTGCTCAAAGTGTTTGTGATTGTCTTGCTTACAGGATCCCTGTAATATTACCCATATTTAGAGTCTTCGTGTGACCCTCTTTACAGATGTCAGTCTGTTATTTCAAGGACTGACAGAGGACAGTCCTTTTTTTGAAGGACAGGCTGTCCTGTCCAAGTCTTCATAAATGATAAAGAGCCATAAGAAGGGAAAATAGGCCGTGGTGACAGTGAAGTTGCCCAGCAACAGCCAGCCCTCCAACTGTAGGCCCAGGGAGGTCACCTG